GCCTGTGTGACTCCTGTAGGGATGTTTCTGCCATTCGGGGTCCCCGAACCCAAGACTCCTCAGGCTGCTTCATCAGAGGAGAGCTGATCACTGTCTGGACATTGTCATCAGCTAGAGGAGGAGGGGACATGTGACCCATGGTCAGGGCAGGCAGAGCCCACCTTCTCCAGCCCCATGGCAGCCCTGGGACTGGACCTCACCCTCGTTCCCAGGTGCAGACTTGCTCAGGACTCTGGGCAGTGGGGCGCGCTGGGTGACTCAACGTCACAGGCACCTTCCTTGCTCAGGTGTACACTCCATTTGCACTTACACACACGCACCTGCAGCGATGACCATGGCAGTAACCATGGCTGGAGTGCATTTATAGTATCACCTGATCCATGTGCTCTTCACGTGGTCATGCACACAGCTAGCACACACCAAGTCCCTACCTGTGGCAGGCACTGCAGGTGTGGCCGGGGTAGAGGAACGAGTAAGGCCGACACAGAACCTCCCCTGGAGGAGTTAGAGTTCAATGAGAAGGAGACACATTAGATTAGAGAGCAAACGAAGAGTGGGGGCTTAGGGTATAACCAGAAGGAAGGTTGACTATGTCACAGACTGTGATCCATGGACAGCAGCTGCAGCAGCGCCAGAGCGGACCCTGGAGACACCCTTCTGGGTTAGCTGCCATGACCCGAGTGGTAAGATCTCGGGGCCATCTGAAACAGCCCGCGTGAGGGGCTGGGGTGCAAGCAGCTACTTACAACAGTGACGAATCATTTCAACTTTTAACAACCTGACACAGCAGGGCCCGGGCGCCAGCTGTATCCCGGTCCTGGAGAGAACACAGACGGGCATGTGCAACCTGGATAAGGCATCGGGAGAGGTGAGCTTGAGGCTGAGGCCTGAGGGAGAAGTAAGAGTGAAGGACTGGCATGGGCACGGGTGCTGCAAGGTGCCCCAGAGAAAGCAAGACAGACCTGGGCGCGCGGGCACCCGGAGGTGAGCCAGAGCATGGCGCTGCTAGGGAAGGGCGACGTGTTCACGCCTCCCGGCGCAGAGCCTGAGGGGTGACAGGTGCACAGAGAGGTGCTCAGAGGTCTCCTTAGCCCAGCGAGAGGGGCGAGGGGTGGGACCCCAGTGCCATGGAGACTGCCTTTCTACCACCTGTGAAGTGGCAGATTGAAGAAAAACTTACATTCAATGTTAGGGACAAATTTTCATTTCATATATGCCCCAGAGTCTTACCCACCTCCCAGGCTCGCGAGGAGAGAAGGGCGTTGAGCGCTTGGTGCCGATGCTCCTGCATGCGCAGGTCCCTGCTGGCACGCCGCTCGGGGGCCTGTCGGCGATGACTCCGTGTGCACAGAGGTCGCTCCTTCGTGACTCGCCGCCCCGGGCCTCACTGCGTGCTTCTCACAGCCCGTATCACCGTGGACTTACCGTCTCTACTTCCGTACGAGCTCCATGAAAGCGGGTGTTTCCCGCACCTAGCAAGGCCCTGGCGCGATGAATGTTTGTCGAACGGATAGCAAACCGACTAAGAAAGGCCCAACGGAAGTAGGAGAGAAAGGTCCGTGCCCAGGGAAGGGAGACGCTGCCTCTGTCGCGCGGGAGAGGAGAGGGGATGGTACAGGCGCAGGAGGCTTGCGGACGGGACAGTCAGCCGAGGGTGCTCTTAGAGGAAGGAAGCAGGCCACTCAGTAGCCAGAGGACAGGATGGCCGGGGTGGGGCTGGTTCGCGGAAGTGAAGATGTCAGTAGGACTGTAGGCACTGTCCGTGGCAGGGCCCAGCTGAGATCACTCATCTCTTGGTACTAAGGTGCCTGGTGACGCGGTTTTTCTACAACAGCACCCAGGTGTGAGCAAAGAGATGGCAGACGGATGCTTTTCCGGGGCTGGAGTTTACAAGGCAGATGCAAAGGAGAACAGCAGGCAAGGAAGCGTTCGGTGTTGGAGAGCGAGCGGTTGGCCAGCTGGGCCGGAGTCGAGGCGGGGTGTGTGGGAGGACACGGCCAGCGGAGAAACCTGGGAGTCGACCAGCGGAGGCCTCCGGAAGGACAGAAACGGACACATCCTGAGCAGCTTGAGGAAGAGATCTGGATGGAGCGTGCTGGAGAGCAGGGAACCCCACAACCGGGCTCAGGCTGATGACCAGGCCGGCAGGTTGGTCAAGGCACGAGGGAGCTTAAGGGGGACGGGAGGTGGAGGTCACGGGAAGGATGTCAAGCCGAGGGACCTGTGTTTAGAAAGGGCTTTCTACAGAAAGCACTGAAGTCAGCCAGGGTGATGGGGAACCTGGGAGCGAGAAGGACCGAGCACCAAAGCGAAGGTCTTCGAAAATGAAAGGCACAACCAGTGGTTGAGTGACAGCCTGGGCGCAGTGGTCTCCCGTGGTCGGTGCAGGCCTGCCCCCATGTCCTACCTGCCACAGACGGTCAGTCCGCTTTTCCCTGACCTAGAGCTGCCTGCAAATTTTTTTTTTCTTTATTGATTTTAGAGAGAGAAGAAGGGAGAGGAAGAAAGAGATAGAAACATCGATGAGCGAGAACATTGATTGGCCGCCTCCAGCATGCCCCCCCCCCCCCAGCACGGGCACCAGCTCGCTCCAAGCCCACCGTCTCGCCGACACCATTGCCGCCTGGCTGGTCTCCTGACTTCCCTCTTGCCCTCCTGTGGCCTGGACTCCCACCAGCAGCCAGGGTGATTTTTTTAAACTTCTCCAGTCAGCAAAAGGGAAGCTTTATTGAGGCTTCAGGGCCACAGGGTTCAGGCGGGAGGCTGGCCTGTGGGCTGAGGAGGTGGCAGGGCCTTATGTAACCTTCTTCCCGGGGCGCAGGCTGCTGGGGTGGCCGCACGCCTTCCGGCAGGACACTTGGCGCAGTTGGACTTCTGGGCGAGCTGGCGCGGGCTCCGCGAGGCCACCCGCAGGTCAGGGAGCGCGCCCACAGCGGCCGCGTCGAGAATGCTGCAGACCACTGAAGTCGGTACACGCCACGAATCAGGGTTTGATTTCTTCTTGGTGTGTGTTTGTCTAGGCTTAAGAAAGTGATAGGGAAGCTATTTATGATGCAGATTAGATTAAAAAATGTGCCATGATCTCCTGGCTGGTGTGGCTCGGTGGTTAGAGCACCGGCCTTCGGACCAAAGAATCACAGGTTCGACTCCAGCCAAGGGCACATACCTCGGTTGCAGGTTCGATCCTCAGTCCTGGTGGGGGTTGTGTGGGAGGCAACCAAGCGAGGTGTCTCTCATACCGATGTCTCTTTCTCACTCCCTCCCATCCACTCTATCTAAAAATCAATAGGAAAATATTTTTGGGCCAGGATTAAGGAAATAAATCAATCGAGTAAAACATCAAGCGTGCCATGGCTGCAGCGTCACACCGTGGCCAGCGCAGAAGACCGAGGTGCCTTCCAGCAGCCGAGCAGGGGTGCAGACCCGCAGAGCTGCTCCCAGCACCGATGAGGGGAGTCCTGGCCCACATCTTCGTGGCTTCACGTTCACGTTACTAGTTACCATGAATGAAAATATCAGCCAGCATTCACGTTGGAGCTGCATTCATTTATCAGTTGCCACCAGGGGTTGATTATGGATACAAGGCTTCAGCAAAGATGAACCCAAGCATTCTGTGAGTGTCAATTGGATATATGGAATTTCAGTGTGGAGTACTATATATTTTATTATTTATAAATTACGTTCTTTATATCAATGAAGTTTGTAATAAACGCACACACACACACCATACATACATACCTCCCCCCACCCCCTTGGAAAGCTGGCTGTTAAACATTTACCAGACCACCACTGGGTTACCCACGTGCACCCTCCATGTCCATCATGGGTCACCTGTTCACATCCCTCACTGTGGGCCCAGGTGATGGCACTGCTACCACCTGCAGCACTGATCCCTGTGTCGGGGGGCCGCAGGGAGACACGCTGGCTGTCAAAGACCCTCCTGGAGGTGGCGCGAACTGTGCACTCATGCTCCGCCGACCACAGCAAGTCACGTGATCAGAGAAGTGATCCCGTCATGTGCCCGGAAGGAGGATGTGGAGTCCTGGGACATTGGTTAACAGGCCTAGTGACCATCACAACATGGCATTATGTGCTTACTGTCTGCCCCACCCCCGCCCTTGAACGAATGTTCCTTGAGAGAGCTGTGTCGTTTGCTGCTACATCCTGAGCACTTTGAGATGCTCAGTACTTATTGAGTGACTCTGAGAGACCAGCTTGGAGGAGGAAGGCTCTGGAACAAGCCTCTCAGATTAATGAGGAGGATGATCACTGCACGATTTCTCCAAATATTGATAAGCGATGTTTGCATCGCCTCCCCTGCACCGCGCAGCTGGAAATCCGTGGCACAGGAATTACATCGATGCAAACGGATCTGCATCACTGGAAAAGGCCCTGGGGCCAGCGAAGGAACCAGACCGGGAAGGATGCAGACACCACCGCAGGGGAACCCCCACTACACAGGCCACAGCGAGGTGGGGCGCATGCGACCCAGAGAGGTGTCTCTTAGACACGTGCAGTGCTGGGCCTTGGAGCTCAGGTGCAGACTGGTATTCCAGTTTGGTTGGATGCTGTCACACACCTGGGATGCCAACAGCCTTAACTCTCATCATTCAGTACCTACGCTGTGCCAAGAATGAACTAACTGGCTTCCAGACACATTGCTTCATTGGCTAACCAGCATCTCCACTCTCTGTTTGACAGTTCCTGTTTGTCAAAAGAGGAAACTGAGTCTCAAAGAGACCGAGGACCTCTTTCAAGGTCAAGGAAGTAGCAGAACCAGGATTTTCATGAAATCTTTTTGAGTCTGATATCTGGTCTGCTGAACAAGGACGCCTCTGTACCTGAGAGAGGCAAGGTGGCTTCAGGACCCTGCGTTTAACTGACCTTGTTCGCAGGTCAAAAAAATACTGCCGGCCCCCACATCCGATCCACACAACAGACTCTCAATGAATCCAAATAAATCCCCGTTTGACGGTGACAGCTGTTTTTTTTCTTTCCGTTTTTATTGAACACAAGTATTCCGACAGAATGCAAAGTCAAAATTCTCAGTTAGTACTCAGTATTTACACCAGGGAGAATGGAAACAAAGGTGGTCTCGATGTTTCACTTGGTAAAAAGTTTGTAACAAGAGAGAAGGCCCCCGAAGTTGGGAATGCTGGGGAGGGATGTCAATGGAGGTCTGAAAACCACCATCCAGACAGACAGCCTCGAGTGAAAACCTGGGACTTGGAAGGCTCCATACAAAAGTGTGAAAATAGAGGTCCACTTCCAAAGCTGCACTATGTACACGGCGGCCCATCGGGCGCGGAGCCCGGGCGTGGCACATGAGTGCCCACCAGCGGAACTCGGCCATGCCGGCGTTCCTGTGAATACACATGTACGCACGTACACATAGAGACACACAGACATTGGAAACAGGCAGCATCGATGCCCCCTTCAAAAAATTTAAAAAGGAAAACTATAAGCTTTTATCTCTTAAAATAAAAGATAGAACATCTTGAAAATAAAGTGACTCCCTCTTTGATCTTAGAGAAAGCATCGCTCTGTTATTTTATTTGTTTAAGGAAAGGAAAGCTCACGCATGCAGAAGACAAATCTATGTATACCGGGAGAGAAGCTAACCAAAGTGGGCAGTGTTGGGTTCCAACTCATGGGTTCTGGGCGGAGGGAGGCAGTCAGCCGTCCTGGGCCAGGTTATCTGTGGGTTGACTGTACCTCTTTCTCTTCCTAATCATTAGAACAAACATCAACCACAAATGCTCGGGATGAAATGCAGTCTCCAGGAGATTCAGAGTGGGCTTGGCCCAGGTGGTCAAAGCCATGAGCATCACAAGGTACAGTACTGGTCCCACAGACAACCTGGTGACAGGAAGAGCCCACCACCAGTCCCTGCTGAACCCTCCCGTCGGACACCCAGGGGCTCCCACTCTGCCGTGTGCTCAAAGAGCTGTCTTCCAGGTACTTGCTCCTGTAGGCCTGTACCTTTGACCCATAGATGTGCGCAGGCCCTAGAATCAAGGGGCCAGTGCACTGCGGCCTGGGACCCCATTTCCATCCCCAGGAGATGAGAAAATGCAAAATAACCCCACACTGAGCAAATGACAAGACCATAATTTTTCACAGTTTGAAATGACAATCTAGCATATCGCCACAGATCAGACCGCAGAAGTGTCAGAACCTGGGGGTGTGGCCCGCAGAACGACTCGGGTGGTCTCGCCACCCTCACCTCTCACTGGTTGTACCTCCGAAAAGGAGCACGTGCTGAGTCCTGATTTCTGTTTACTTAGCGTCATCTTCATCTTCATCAGCATAATCATTTTTATTCATTTTCTTGGTTTAAAGGCTTCAATTCCTTTTACGAGTAATTTTCGTTTCCTGAATATCTTTTCTGAACTATCTGCTATACCTTCCACAACCAAACTATGTTGAAGTTTTATTTCAATACTATGACAAAAACACGTTTCACACTAAAATAGTCACGCATCCACAGTGCACAAGCTTGCAGTTCTAAAGTAGAATGAGGGGAAAAAAAGCAAAATGTCTATACAAAGGGCTGGCTTTTCCCTTCTCCCCCCTCCCATCCCCTTAAAGTTTCTGTATTTTCCCCACTTTGTTTCCAGTCCAGGAAAGTTGTGTTATGACTCCAGACAGGAGGGTTGTTGTTGTTTTTTTCCTTTGTTTCTACAAATGCTGCCTAAGTGAACAGAAGGCTGATGTTACTTTACTTCAACAGATTTCCAAAAAAAGACACTAATTCCCCGAAGCACACACGCTCTTCCGCTCAAATCTCGATTCTGGGCCCAAAAGGAAATTGTATGTATATATTTTATTTGGCTTTCTACAAAAAGGGGATGTTTGGGGTAAAAATGTGTGTTCACCAAGACCAGCCCAACTATACAATCTCTGCTTCATTCAATAAAGCCTAAGGCGTCCTCCGGGAGAAGGACGGGAAGCCGGGAGCAGGTCCTTTTTCACGGATACAGGCAGGTGGCGGCTAATCAGAAAGTGGTCTAACCCCCAGGGAAACACGAAAAAGAACCGAGAACCAAAAATCAAAACCAGTCTGCATGAGATGGGTTTTCACCCGAGGTGGATGCAGGCGAAAACTTCCCATCAGAAGGGGGAGCCACTGTAAACAGCCGCACCGTGCGAAGCGGTCCGTGCTAAAGCCGGCCCGTGATGATCCCACCCACCCCAGGCGGTTTTTGTAACTTAAAAAAGAAAAAAAAGAGACAGCTATTTTACATGGACTTTTAAACACAATCGAAGTTAAACATTTGTCAACTTGTAAACACTGGAAAGCAAAGTTGGCAGAAAGGAAAAAAAAAAGAAAAAAAAAGGAAAGGAAAAAAGTCTGAATACTGCAAATTGAGATCTACCCCCAGAAGCTGCAGTTTGGCATTCTTCCTACAAACAGGAGTCTACTGGGAATTGGATTCAGCTAGGAAGGGTGACACACTTTGCATACTGAACAAATACAAAGTGAACAGAAAGTATAACTTATTTATGAGGTTGTACAGAGTTCAAACTTGACTGAAAGTATAAAAATAAACTCGGACCTTTGTTCATTCGGTTAGTCTTAGTGCCTGGAAGTACTTCTCTGAAACTGGTGTGTGCCCATTGGGCGACACCAAGTAGGTCTTCCTCCACCTAGATGTTTTTTTCTGAGCTTCCTAGATTCTTAATTTGGGGTCCTTTTGTTTGATTTTTAAGTGGTTTCAGGGAACGGAGTGTCCTTGTTTGGCTGTGGGTTTAACCTTTTTGTCTCGTTTTCTTACAAGTGAGTGCGCAACAAGGAACCCTTTCTATAAACCTAAAAAAGGAGATCCCACGTTTATCCGTTTAGTTTTTTTTAAAGGCAAAAGACACTAGAGGAATGGGATGTGTGTGCGTGTGCGTGTGTGCGCGTGTGTGATCTGGAAATGCTCTGGTGAAGCTGTGTGTCACTTTCGATTTTGATCTTTGCTCGTCTCTCGCCACCCATCATGCTTTGCTCTCGTTCTCCTTTGTCTGTGTGGCGTCACTGGCGCCCGTCTTGACTTCGGCTGGCGCTGGCTTCGTGTCTGTGGCCGGGCACTCGGACTTGGCGTCCACGGGGCGCTTCCTGCGGGGAATCAGAAAACAGCACTGAGCCGAGGTCTGGAGCGCCCCTCCAGCCGGCCCCTGGGGGCTCCAGACACCCCTGGGCCACGCCGCGCCCCGGAACCGGTCGGGGCGTGGTGACTTTTAAAAGCACCCAAGTGATTCTAACGTGTAGCCGGAGCTGAGCCACTAAAGGGAGGAACAAGACCTTTCCCACCGCAACCCAACCTGGGGGGCCAGGGCAAAGCAGAGGCCACCTTTCTTTACCCCACGGCCGTTCTTTACCCCACAGCCGGCCACAGCAGCAGCAGCAGCTCAGCGAGGGACAAACCAGGTGTGCGGGGCTGGGCTTCCCAGGACTGTTTCCGGGGCCCCTCTGCAAACCAACTGCTCTTGCCTGTCCCTCCCCCACCCCCACCGAGCTGGCTGTTCCCCGGCCTGCGGTTCCTGGGCAGAAAAGCCCTGCTCCCCAGGCAGCTTCCCCTGGGAGTCAGGTGGGGGGTTCCAGGGGGCTGCCCGCTGCCGGAGGAGTGGGGTCGGGTGGGCAGGGCTGTCGGAGTCCTTCCCCTTCTTGATTGGGGCCCAGGGCTCCTGGCGAGGGTCCCTCTGCAGCTCCTTGCGGCAGCACCACAGCTTACCTGCAGCGGCCTCAGGAGCCTCTGTAAGAACCTGGGTCTGCTTCTGCCTCAGTCGGTTCCGGGAGCCAGAGTCTGGTCCCAGGACACACTGGGGCAGGCTCAGACCCAAGCCCCCGACGGTGCCCCTGCGTTCTGGCATCCCATTATAAAAGCTTGTAAGGGTAAGGACCTTCCCTTGAACTTGAAAACCCAGCCATCCTTCTTCGGTCCTCGGGAGCTCTGGGCTCCACTCAAGGGCAGGAGGGGCGAGAGTGGGTGGCGGGGTGCGGGCATCCGGGGGGAGTGTGCATCCTCGCCCCCAGGCCTGCTGCCTCTCTGTGTCCCGAGTGACTGGATAACACCCGCCTGCCTGGGCCCAGGCTGGCCAGTAAGGGCACCTTGGTCCCCTCAGCTCGTCCCACTATGCTCATCAGAGGCCTGACTGCAAGGGCTCCCCAGGGAAGACAGACGCCACTGCTAGGGCGATAAGGATGAAACATAATTAACATGGCCTAATTAGTGAGCAGGAGGCGCTTGCTGGGACCCGCTGTGTCCCTGCTCCCTCTGCCTAATCTCCGCCCTTTGGTTGACAGTTGCCTCAGAGAAGCCCTGGGTTAGGCCGAGGACACATCGAACAAGGAAGACACAGCACAGCACAAACGCACACCACCACAGGACACAACCCGCTGACAGCAGACAGAGAGGCCGTACTCGGTCTTGGCTGGTGCAGGCGACACTGAGCTTTCTGCAGTGGGAGGAGCAAGCTCAGGGGCTTGTCCACTGGCCCCAGCGGCGGGAGCAGGAGAGCCCAGGGCTGCAAAAACATCCTTTGCAAGGTCAATATCTGGGGTCTTGAAGTTCCCTTCGTCCATTTTAAAGTCCTCGCCCTGGGCAGGGTTTGTGGCGGTGACGGGGGCAGCCTCGCTCTCCGGGTCAGTGAGGGCCGTGGCCGCCTCGCTCGGGCTCTTCGCGGTGCCAGGCTGGGTGGGCTCTGGGTCCGGGCCTTTGGTGCTGGGAGCCTCCTGCTTGGCCTGGGGGGCTTCTGTGGCAGGGGCAGTCGCTGCTGCTAGGGGACCGGCTGCCCCGGCCGAGACGGGGGCTGGAGCAGGGGCTGGCTTGCTCCCCGGAGAGGCCTTGGAGGCCTCCCCCACACTGGCGGGGGCGCTTGGGCTGAGCACGGCCCCCTGGTTAGCCAGGACACTAGAAGACAAACTGCTGGCAGCAGGGGCTGAGGTTGGGGTGTCGCTCAGGTCCACAAGGGGGGCCACCTTGGGGGCTGAAGCTGGGGGTGGGGAGGAGGTGGTGACACCCGGCCCCTTGGAAGGGGTGGCCTGGCTGGTGGGCACAGAGTTTGAATCAGGAGTGGCCATGGCTGGGGGGGCAATACTGGAGGTCAGGGTGGTGGTTTCACTGGTGGGGCTGTTCTGAGCAGTGGCAAAGGTTTCGGTGACAGTGTCAGAGTTAGCGGTGACGGTGGTGACAGAAGGCAGCATGTCCTCAACAGTGGCTGTGGTGTCAGCAGGCAGCCTGTGGGGAGGACAGGAAGTAGAAGAGAACAGACGATGAAGATGAGACGAGACAGAGAAGCGGGGGAGGGCTGAGGCCAAGGGGGCCGTGGGCACGGCATGCAGTCAGCACAGGCATGGGTGCAGGCCCGCAGAGACGAGACGAGAGAGGAAGCAGACGCCCAGGCGGGCAGAAGAGAGACAGGAGACGACAGAGAATGCAGCGGTCAGTCTAAAAGGACCTGCCGGCCCCTCCTCCCTGCTCACGCCCTCCACCTCTCCGCACAGGACCCGTCTGGCCCTTTCTGCTCCTGCCTACATCTCGGCTCCAGGACAGGCAGGTGTCCAGCTGCCTGCTGGGCTCCACGGGCCACAGTGGGGAAAGTCAGGAATAAAGGCAGACGGACAATGAATGTTCCAAGTGGCCCCTAAGAGCCGTGGGTTCTCCAGCCACAGATTTTATGCTTCCGTTAAACTCATTCCTCCCAAACCCAGAGTCCTCAGGATAGCCAGGCAGTCATTACAACCCCAGCCAGATGGTATGTCCGGCTGAGGGTCCCCAAGTCTTAGAACAGGAGGGCCAGAGAGTTTTACCAGGTCCCCAAATTCCCTCACCCTGTTAGGAATAATGCAGAAAACCCTAGAGTTCTGGGCAATCCTAAACAGAATTTGCTAAGCTCCTCAAAGCTCAGTCTTCATGAAGTTTTGTCCCCTTCCGCCATCTCCAGGCTGAGTGTGTGACCTGGGAACAGGGTCTAGGGATCTCCCTTATGCAAGACACCCTGGAAAGGCCCAGCCACCCCGACAGAACCAAGCATGGCTTCTCTCTGGGAGACCGTGGGATGGGGCATTTCTCAGCCCAGGCATTCCTGGCCCAGGGTGCGGGCCTGGCCTGCAGTGCTGGGCAGGAGCTGCGGGCGGGAGCCAGCGGTGCGGGCAGGTGGGGAGGTGGGCGGGGCCGTGCTGGGCGACACCAGCTCCTTCCCACCACGTACTCGGGCTCTGTCAGCGGCGTGGTCTCATTGGGCTCGGTGTGCTTCCCTCCGTCGTGATTTGGGGTCCGCTCCTCCTCAGTCCGCACCTCCACGATGGGCTCCTTGGACTCATCTTTCCTGCAAAGAGAGTTCGGCTGTTTTCATCCCGGGGACCTGGGGGAGGGGAGGGCTCCCAGGCAAGTCAGCTATAGCTCAGGCTCCTAGACCTGGCCCAAGGGGCAGGACCCAGGTGCCGCAGCCTGTGTCCTCACTCTGGCTAGCTGTGTGACCTGGAGCTTCTGATTTGCCGCCTTGTCTCCATTTTCTCTTTAGCAAATGGGGCAACAACAGTATCCTTCTCACCTAGCTGTTGGGAACATTAGCTGAGTGATGAACGTACAGTGCTTAGCACAGTGCCCGGCACAGATAAGTGCTGAAATACTTTCTATTCACATGCATGTAGTTATGTACATGTATATGCATCTGTGTGGACATGCATACACAGCATGCACAGTGCCTGGCACATGGTGCTAAACAGCGTACCTCCTCGCTCTGCCCCTGCTCACCTTGATCCAGCTCAGGCCGGGAGTCCACCCCGGCTCCTGCTGACTGGCGCAGGCTCTGTCCCCCAGAGATTCTGGAGGGGACAGCACTGGGTCGTCGGCTCCAGGGGGACAGGAAATGTTATCTGTTTGTTCACTGTTGGGCCCTAGTTCCTGGGAATAGTGCTTTGCCCATAAATATCTGTTGAGTGATTTATGAATGAATGAATGAATGAATGACAGGAAGGCAAGTGTGTCTCTCAAATGCTGGCCCTTCCTTTCTAGCCCTGCCCCCAGGCTCGCTCTGAAAAGTGCCTCATCTTCACATAGGCAGGGATTTTCAAACTTCCATGACATCCTCATATACACGCTATGGGGCTGAGCTCAAGAGTCTGCGTGTCAAACAGGGCTCCCCCTGAGCTAATGCTTGTTTCCCCTCGGGGTTCCCTGCGGGCTGGGCGGGGCCGGGGGAGACCCCGGCCGAGCAGTGGCACTCACGAGAAGGCGGCTTTGCCCTCCTCCATGTCCTGGCCCTTGGCTCCGGGCCCGGCCTTCCCGCACAGGCTGACCGCGATGCACATGAGCAGGCCACACTTGTTCAGGAAGTAACAGGTGATGTCGACCACCACCAGGAGCAGCACGAAGATGACAATGAGGATGCCCACGATGGCCCCGGTGCTCAGGCCTGCGGTGGGGCTGCCGTTGGCTTCGGGGGGGAGAGAGATGGCTGGCGGTTAGCACCCTGACACACAGACCCCTGGACCCCGCAAGCCGCAGCCCGTGAAGGGGGAGGGCCCATGGGGACAGAGCCCTAGTATCTGTGCAGTGACACCCTCCCTGGTGTCGTGTGTGTTAAGACAACAGGGTCTCTAGCTGTTCAAGAGGAAGGTGTGGCAACCTCGGCTCAGACCAGGGGACACAGGTCAGGACGGGTGGGGGCTGGGAGACAGGTGTGCACTGCGCTCTGCCTCCCGCAGACCCCACCTCAGCCGTGCCCTGGGCGCTGGGAGCAGGCAGGTAGGCAGTGCTCACTGGTTTCAGGCTTGTCTGTGGCTCCTGGGAGCAGTCAGGGACAGGGTCCCGGATGTGGGGGCAGAGGGTTCCCCAGGCTCCCTTTGGGCCCGGGACGATGTCAGGCACAATAGGAGGCACATCCCGTTTCCTCCCCCTCTTTAGGAACGGCCAGAGGACCCGGCGTCGGGACACAGCGGCTCCATGGTCTGTGCTTCTACACTGCGCCCAGGAAGACAAATGATGTCGTTTACTGTGGAGGCATGGGGGCCTCCCAGGCCTGATGGGCCAGCTGAGCGGTCTGGGAGTACTCACCGTCTGGGAGCTCAGGCATGTCTGGGTCAGCCCTCAGGAACACCAGCAGGCCACCCAGTGGCACCCACTGACAGACAGGCTCACTCACACGCAGGACCGGCCCACCGCAGACACACACACATTCTCACCTGGAGCAGCTCCCGGCATCCCCAGCCAGGCTGGGCCCACCGTGAGGACTCAGCCTCTGTGTCCTACTCCCTTGCTGTCCACCTGAAATCCACCTGGCTGCTGACAGTGTCCCAGGAGGACCCCGGGCTCAGCTCCCTGTGCACCCCCAGTGACTGATGTTATTTGCTTGAAGCGGACCCACTGACCGCGAGGGACCCCCGCGTCCGGGAGACAAGGGCTCCCTGCAGGAAGGACCCTGCAGAACTCCGCCTCCGAGCCCAGGTGCAAACAGTGACCCCAGACTGAAGCAGGACACCTCTGCTCTGCTCTCTTGGAAGAAGTTCCCAGACCGGCAGCTCCCCCCGTCCACCTGACCTTGCTGACGCATCGGGTGTCCTCAGGACCCCTGCGATCACCCTGTGGGCCGGAGGCAGGACCCGTGGCCACACTTGGGTCTCACGATGCCTTTGCCCTGCCAGCCTAGACCGTTCCAGACACTGGGACGTGGACCCAAGGCAAAGGGCGTCATAGGTGGGCCGCAGGTTCTTTACATGGTGTGGTGTGTGGTCCTGGGGCGGGCCTCTGTCTGACTGGGGTCTCTGTGGGCCCTGCAACCAACGCCAATCCCACCCCAAGGCTCCTTACTTCACATTGCAACCAGCCCCTCCTGACAGAGGCCGCTCACTCCACCCAGGGCACAGCTGGTGCTTGGCGGGAGGTCACCCCCAAGCTCTCAAATGCGTTCGGCCCCTTGGGGACCTTGATCTTACTTCCTGGCCTCTCTGCCTCAGGGCTGTCTGGCAGGTCCCTCCGACCCTGCGCTGCGGACCCCAGCCTCCCCCAGGACGGCCCTGCGCTGCGGACCCCGCCTCCCCCAGGACGGCCCTGCGCTGAGGACCCCAGCCTCCCCCAGGACGGCCCTGCGCTGAGGACCCAGCCTCCCCCAGGACGGCCCTGCGCTGAGGACCCCGCCTCCCCCAGGACGGCCCTGCGCTGAGGACCCCGCCTCCCCCAGGACGGCCCTGCGCTGAGGACCCCAGCCTCCCCCAGGACGGCCCTGCGCTGAGGACCCCAGCCTCCCCCAGGACGGCCCTGCGCTGAGGACCCAGCCTCCCCCAGGACGGCCCTGCGCTGAGGACCCCGCCTCCCCCAGGACGGCCCTGCGCTGAGGACCCCAGCCTCCCCCAGGACGGCCCTGCGCTGAGGACCCAGCCTCCCCCAGGACGGCCCAGCGCTGAGGACCCCAGCCTCCCCCAGGACGGCCCCTGCGCTGAGGACCCCAGCCTCCCCCAGGACGGCCCAGCGCTGAGGACCCCAGCCTCCCCCAGGACGGCCCCAGGCGCTGAGGACCCAGCCTCCCCAGACGGCCCTGCGCTGAGGACCCCAGCCTCCCCCAGACGGCCCAGCGCTGAGGACCCCCAGCCTCCCCCAGGACGGCCCAGCGCTGAGGACCCAGCCTCCCCCAGGACGGCCCAGCGCTGAGGACCCCAGCCTCCTCCAGGACGGCCCTGCGCTGAGGACCCCAGCCTCCCCCAGGACGGCCCAGCGCTGAGGACCCCCGCCTCCCCCAGGACGGCCCAGCGCTGAGGACCCCAGCCTCCCCCAGGACGGCCCAGCGCTGAGGACCCCAGCCTCCCCCAGGACGGCCCTGCGCTGAGGACCCCAGCCTCCCCCAGGACGGCCCTGCGCTGAGGACCCCAGCCTCCCCCAGGACGGCCCTGCGCTGAGGACCCCAGCCTCCCCCAGGACGGCCCTGCGCTGAGGACCCCAGCCTCCCCCAGGACGGCCCTGCGCTGAGGACCCCAGCCTCCCCCAGGACGGCCCTGCGCTGAGGACCCCAGCCTCCCCCAGGAGGGCCCTGGCGCTGAGGACCCCGCCTCCCCCAGGACGGCCCTGCGCTGAGGACCCCAGCCTCCCCCAGGACGGCCCTGCGCTGAGGACCCCGCCTCCCCCAGGACGGCCCTGCGCTGAGGACCCCAGCCTCCCCCAGGACGGCCCTGCGCTGAGGACCCCAGCCTCCCCCAGGACGGCCCTGCGCTGCGGACCCCAGCCTCCCCCAGGACGGCCCTGCGCTGCGGACCCAGCCTCCCTCAGGACGGCCCTGCGCTGCGGACCCCAGCCTCCCCCAGGACGGCCCTGCGCTGAGGACCCCAGCCTCCCCCAGGACGGCCCTGCGCTGAGGACCCCAGCCTCCCCCAGGACGGCCCTGCGCTGAGGACCCCAGCCTCCCCCAGGACGGCCCTGCGCTGAGGACCCAGCCTCCCCCAGGACGGCCCTGCGCTGAGGACCCCAGCCTCCCCCAGGACGGCCCTGCGCTGCGGACCCAGCCTCCCCCAGGACGGCCCTGCGCTGAGGACCCCAGCCTCCCCCAGGACGGCCCTGCGCTGCAAACAGCTCTGGGCCCTGCGGACCCAGCTCGGGCTGCCTGGTCTCTGGGCTCTGGCAGCTGGAAACCGGCCACTGGCCCTGCGGTCAGCTAGAACGAGTCTGTTCCCCAGCAGCCCAGCAAAGCAGAGCAAAGCTGTGCACTCAGCAGACCCAGTGGGGGGCCGCCTGCTTCCCAAGGCCAGCGCCAGGAGCGCTGTTCGGGGTTCAGGGGGAGGGCCTGGAGGGTGAGAGACAGAGACGACTGTGCCGTTGAAACAGAAAGTAGGGCAGTGGCCTCCCTTTGGCCTGATGTGAAATTCAAGTTCTTTCTTCTGGCTGGAAGGCCCTAGGCCTGCGGCGGGCCCTCCCCTCCCCCACCCACTGTAAGTCCCAGCACCACCCCGCCCCCATCTCTGCGCTCCAACTGGCTGAGCCTTTGTTTTACCTGGAACACGCCCAGCTGATCCCTAACTTGGAACCCCCCATCCCTGTCAGCTCTTGGGCAGCTCCTACAAACATCAGCTCAAATGCCAACCCCATCTTCTGTCTTCTCAGGCACTTGTGCCCCAAATCTACCACATTCTCTCTTTCATTCTCTTCACACTATTTGCCCTTTTCTGTTCATTTACATGCGCCCTCTAGGATGTCCTAGCAGATGCCCTGTCTATGTCTCCCTAGCATCTAGAACAACCCAACTTGTAGGAGACGTTCAAAGAACCAGCAAACAGCCCTGGCCTGTTGGGTTGGAGCGTCGACCTGCGGACCAGAGAGACCCGGGTTCAGTCCCCACTAAGGGCACGTACCTCCGTTGCAGTTTGTCCCTGGCCCTGGTTGGGGTCATGTGGGTGGCAGCCACTCGATGTGTCCCTCTCACATCGATGTTTCTCTCTCTCTCTTCCCCCTCTCTCCCTCCTGCTCTATCTGAAGATAAATGCAAAAATGTCCTCGGGGGTGAGGACTAAAAAAAAAAAAAAAGCTAGCAAACAGAGGTGACAGATGTGGTGTGACCTGCCTGGGTCGTGCGCTCCCTGCTGCTGGAGACATTCTGGACAAGCTTCCTGCACCGGGCAGGCCTAGGACAGAGGACGTCCTCAGTCCTCTTCACCCAAAGGGGCCTGGTACTGCACACGACGCCACGGGGCCCCGCACCTGGTACAGACGCCCCCGTGGCCGTCCCCTCCAGAGTACAGACCGAGAAGGACTTTGCCTAGAGGACTAAACCGCTCAGTAGGTCCCATCTTTATTCATTGATTCTTGTGATTTTATTTTTGTGTGGAGAATAAATACCTCAGCATAATATTTTTCCACCTACAGCAGAATTCCTGGGTGCTTTGTTTAAAATTTGGATCCTGGGGTGTCCCGGTCCCATTAAGTCAGAATCTCTGAGGGTGAGGCTCACGGATCAGGATTTGATCAAGCATCCAGGAGATCCTTATGCATCCTAGAACTGGGGGACCACTGTCTCCAGCTCTTCGGTCCCTGCGGAACGACGAGGAGCCTGTACCCCGTCACCCGGGGATGAGCAGCAGAGCCCCACCCGATGGCCCTGACCTAACTGAGGTTCTGAATGGACGGAGAGAAAGCAAGACTGTCCCTACTCAGAGCCAGGGCTTCCAGCGGGACCGGCTGCTCCTTTGCTGTGCAGCCTGTATCAAAAGGAGCACCCACAGGGGCGCACTGCGAAAGGGTGTGCGAGTCACACCACGTTCATGATCCTCCGCACGTTACGGAACTGTTCACTGCAGGAAAGCTGAGGGACAAAGCTCATCTCCTGCACGGCACGTAACATTTTACAAAAGGAAAAGGAAAAGACCTTCTGCGGTCTGTCTTTGCAGGCTCCCCCCCCTGGCCCCCTTGACTGACTTGCCCGCACACCTGCCCCAAGGGCACCTCTGAGGTGCGGTT